CCCCCCCCCCCCCCGCGCTATTTTCTAGAAGACCAGTCTTACACTTTGGAATTGGAATTGGAATTGGAATGTGCAGGTTAATAGGTGTTAACAACATGTCAAGCACTTTGTCATTTGAGTTGTTGTTGAATTACTTGAGTACAGTAGTTTATTCCCGGACTCTCTGTGCATCATGGCATCAGCAGTTGCGCGTTTCTCGGAGCGAGTGCGCGCGGACATGTGCGGAACAAAAAAAGGCCAGCAATGAGGCCATGTCTGCTCGACTGCGTAAGTAAAGAGAAATACGGGCCGACAACTAGGCTTTTCCTGGCACGCTTTCCCCCCTCCAATAAAGTTTGTGAGAGAGAGAGAGAGAGCAATGGGTTGCTGGTTAACTGCTTCTCGGTGCGTGACGGGTAAGTAGCTAGCTAAACTCGAGCCGAACTCTGCGCACGTGCCTCTGCGTTGTTGAGCTGGCTTTTGCAAGGGGTTCCTGGCTTAGTCTGGCGTGTGGCTGGACGTTGGCTTTTGGTGCGAACGTAGCAAGCTCTACACGTATATGGCAACAAGAGGGCTACTTACAAGAGTGCTTGTTGCCAAAAGGGGGACATGCTTTGCTTTGGGAAAACTCGAGTCGGAGCAACACACACACACACATGGTCAGCAAAAGACATGAATTGGCCAAGTTCCGCAATGCCACATGTCTGACTTGCTAGTGTAAAAGCAATGGTAGACTCGGAGGTTCCGCCGATGGATGAATCTGGACCTGCCGTGTTTTGAATGACAATCGGGCTTACCAAGGGACAAGTGTGCAAAGGGTTAGACTGTTGGCATTTTGCAGAGCATTAGCCGATGCCAAGTGCAGAATCAGTTGAGCTTGGGGATGGGACAGTTACGTGGCAGCAGTACCTGTGCACCAAGGGCAGACGTGTGCCGTCAAACAGTTTTATTCAGTACAAACGGCCACAAGGTTACAGTCGCTCCGGTTCCCATGGCGTAATTGACCTCAGATTGATTGCCTTGGACAGCAAAAGACAAGCTTGCGCAAGATGAGATAGATTTGAACATTTTCGTAGCCCATTGGCGACGGTTGATTTTCGAACGACAGGACTGCGTGGTAGACCACGTCGACAACAAGGAAATAACGACAGGCTGTAGAATCGCCGTCAGGCTGCGACTCTGTACATTTTCCAATTCCACATTGCTTCGACCGAAATAAGAACAAAAACTCCCAAACTCATAGAAAAAGCGGAATTGTCCAGTGCGAAGGAGTAAAGGGAAAAGCCATACAAGGCCACAGTGAGCACAAGACCAGGCACCTCGGCTATGTGACAGAAGAAGCAGTGTGAGAACGATAAAGGGTATAAAGCCAGCCGGGATAGGAGAGAAAAAAAAAGACAGCTTACAGTCAAAAATGACATGAAGGAGAGAGAGGAAGAAGAATCAAGTCCAAGTCCAAGTAGATGTAGGTGTATAGTGTGCAACAGAAACGCCAGACCAAGCAGGCAGGCATTCAATCGCACCGCAGCATGTCCATAGCCGCCGAGTATCTGTCGGTATGTGGCGCAGGGAGGGGGATCGAGCAGCTATCGAGAGGTGGCGTAGGAACGGTTGTATTGTCCTTGATTTGCTCCGTTGGTTGTGGGGGTGGAATGGATGGCCTTCCAGGCGACTTCAGCGGCTTCTTCTCGCGATTGTTCGAGGTAGCGGTAGTCCCGCCAAAGGGCGGCTCGGTATTCACGGCCATGTACAAAGACACTGCTCGACCAGGCTGTGCGGATGCCTGAGTGCCAGTGTCAGTCAGTGCCAAGGGGTTGTGGGGGCGGGCTGCACATGTCGAGGACGGATGGATGACGAACCTCGGGGGTCAGAGTAGTCCTGGAACTGAGGCTGGGCGATCTGGTTGGTAGCGCAGTAGTCTGGGGGACGGTTAGCTGGACACGGCCTGTGTGTGGCGGAAGCAAGCGGTCTGCGCACGCTGTAGCTTCTGGACGTAGCTCTCGGGTGCAGCCATTGTGCGAGATGGACTTTTGCAAGCGGAGATGGAGGCGTGATGCTTTTGACAAGTTTGTGGTGGGGTAGAGGTTTCGCGAGTGGGGATGGGGGAAGATCAGGTAGGCGTGCGAGGGCTGGGTAGCAACACCTTGTGCAGCATAGTGATGGCTCTGTTTATAGTCTCGGGGTGCTTTGAGAGCCTCATTTTCGGTATCCTGTAGGAACAATGAGAGGGGGCGTTGCCACACAGGACGTCTGAAGAGGAGAGCAGCTGCAGCCGCCGTACGCCCCCTATGTGCTCGGGGACAGAGCATCAGGCTGATGGTCCTGCTGCGCTGGCAGGTTTTTCACGCCATAATTGGCCGGCAGAAGCATCATGGAGCTCGCAACTGCGGGGGTAGCGAGCAGGAGAAGGCGGCCAGGCAGAAACTAGAACCGCCAGAAGCCGGGACGGGCACCATGGCAGAGGGTTGCGTGTGCTGGAAACCACCGCCTGGGGATGGCGAGGCCAATGAGGGCCGGGGGATGAATTTTGGTGTTGAATGCATTGCCGAGTTCAGCCTGGCTCGGCTGTGAGCTGGCAGTGGAGGACGAGAGAGAGAGAAGCTTCCATGCTAGTTTCTCAGTGCCCCGACGCAGTGCCAGATGTGTCTCGCAGATTGGCCCTTGGTTCGCTCGGCGTTCGTCCCGGTTGCGGCTAGCAGGATAAAGGGCCGTGCCGTTTCCGTACCCGTATATATGCCATCTGAAAGCGCGTCATCTCGAGCAACCATGCTTGACGTGTCGGGCGCTGAGCGTGGTGGCAGGCAGGCAGCCGGAGAGAGAGAGGGAGAGGGAGGGAGCGGGAGGGAGAGGGAGAGACGGCCAAGCGAGAAGGAGTCGCCCGTCGTATCCCATGGCCTTTGATGCCACGGGCGCCCCATGGCGATGGCCATCCCATCCCATGCCATCTCACGGCTGCACGGCGGGACCCACTGGCGCTGAGGTGGCATGGGCACAGAGGCTCGCACTCACAGGCGGAGCGGGAGCGGAGCGGCAGTGGCAGCGGCCAAAGGGGCTTGTTCCTGGGGGGGGGGCCGATGGGGATGGGGATGGGGGGCGAACTGCTCAGCCCTGTGCCTGCGATCTCCCACCCCCCGTTGCAGTTGGGCGGCGTGGTATGCAGCCGGCGTCACATCACATCGCCAGACTGCAGCCCGTCCGGTTCCTGGATACCCGTGCAATGGCCATAGGTTTGGTGTCTCTGCCGCCGCCAACGCTAGCACTACCCACCTCTTGCACGCGGCGCTTGCTCGGTCTTCGCTTGAGGCGGTAGCAGCGAAAGTGGCCGCTGGACTGACTGAGGCACCGCACAAGCCCCGCCGGCATGACCACACCCTCGCCCGCCGTCGGCGCTGCGCTGGCAGACGTGTTGTTCAGGTCAAGGCTGCCCGGATGGCGCGAAGTCGTGGCTGCTGCGACGACGGCGAGTGACGTGTCGTACCAGCTGCA